ACGCTCACGCTGTTGTCGGGTCACGATACTATGGATGTAGCAGAGGTGTGTTCCTACTGGTTCGCACCAGTTCGGTAGAACCGGTTCATCAAATCTACCGAACCGGTTAGAAGAGGTTTCACCAGTGGACCCAGAAAGCAGACCATACCTACAGAAGAGATTCCAAAACTTTTTGAAACCCACCACTGGTATGTGGGTAATGTTCTGGTGGTTGTATATTTGCCTATTTTCCAACTAGTAGTCTTTGAGACACTCCAACTATATTGGACTATAAACTGTAGAATTTCAGACTGTCTAAACTGACTGCCAGTTTTGAGAATTTTGAGTCCAACACATCTGGTAGATGCTACATTGCTAAAATAGATAAGAACAGTCAACTTTTGCAATATTTGGGAGAGGTTAGATTTCTTTTTAAGCTCTATCTCTATTGGTTCATATAATTATAATATTATTATCTTTGCCATAGACTGCCCTGAGTTCTTTTAGAGTAGAGATGCATAAAAAATACCAGTAATAAATGAACAAGAAACAAACAAGCTACTTTCATCAAACAGTATCAAAAACCTCAGGGTCTCTTCAACCAACTTGGGCCACAAATTTGTGCTGTACTTCTGTGGATCCAAAACAGGATGGACTTTCAGGACTATCTATTTCCACCCACCATATTTCCATATAAGAATATGCATATTTCATATGCAAGAATACAAAGATTTCATCAGACTGAATGTGCAGTAACTCTAGGGAATTAAATCAGGTGGTGCTTCCCCAGAAAAGCTTGTGGCTTTGAAAAGATCTTTTGGGAGATTCAGAGTTTAAAATGGCATAGGACCATTTTAATGAGGTTCTCAACCTGTAGTTGAGCTTGATGATGTCACCGGCAATCTGAAGGCTTGAAGAAAAGTTAGGATTTAAATGTTGAGTTAAGTCTTGGGGGTCCATACTCATGGTCCTTGGCCACAAAAGATATTTAAAGGGGGTCTGTTATGAAGGAAAGGTTGAGAACCACTGGGGTAGAATATTTCTGTAACTATCAACTGGGAGGTCCATTAATATTACATTTTTCCCAGTAATGAAGAGACGGATTAGGGCTCATTCCTGAGTTATAGCTCAAGAAATATCAGCACTTGAAAGTGGTTCACCGACAAAAGGGCGAACGACAAAACCGCGCCCGACTAAACCGCGGTGACAAAACCGCGTGTTCTAAAGCGCTCCGATGAATGAGCGCTGAATCGCGCCGACAACAGTGCGGCGACAGAAGCACGCTGTAAAACTAAACCTAACCCTAAACCTAACCCTAAACCTAACCCTAAACCTAACCCTAAA